AAGGCCACATCGGTATTTGGCCAGTTTGAAAGGGAAAGAGTAGCTGCCATCTTGGGTTGCGCGCTCACAACTGGCAACTTCGCTGGCGGCCAACTCGGGCTGAGTCAGCACGGGTTTGGCCGGTCCAATCAAGGTAACTGATGCCAAGCAGTGCCAAACCTATCTAACTAACAATCGTATTGAATCATTCAATGGTTGCGGTCATCTCGGTGTGCTCATTAAGGACAGTTTGGAGCTGGGTTAAAGCAATTATAAATCTACTTGAGAGATTTTTTCGCAAATAAGTAACCTCCTCAGAATTAATTTAAATTCGCCTTCATTCTACAGTTATTACTAGTAATTGTTTCGATATGTGAAATAACTTTACTCTCCACAAACTGATAAATAATTGAATCAGAATTCTAGTCTATAAAGAAATCACGGTGGCTTACTGAACTCCTTGTTCAACTGGATGATATATAAAATGCGACCTTTTGCCCTGGTTAGTACCTAATACCTCAATGCCATCGTTGATCTCGTCTTCCCTGTGTGTAAAGGTGGTCCTTCCAATCCGGGTCGTACACCGTGTACACTGCAACAGCCACGGGCTTGATCCAGGGGGTCACTTTCGGATAGACATATCCCACAATTCCATTTTTTATAAATCCTTGTTGAAGATAACTATCCCGTTCTGCCTCTGAGATGGTATAAACGTGGTCGATATCGCTCTTATTGAAGAGAACGAAGAGCGGAATGGTTCCAGGCGTGGGCCTTCAAAGATGTACCCCAATGGAGCTGTTTAGCAGAGTAACCCTTCAGGGTGGTCATAATCTGGTGCTCTTGCCCTTTGGCAGTATAGAGATGCTCCGGCTTGTCAGAGTTGTACGAACGAAGGAGTTGTATCTTAGTACTTGACATCGTCGGAAAGGTAGAGTCGTCCCTACTGGTGGTAGTGGGAAATGTTGACAAGATGTGGGAGTTTGCTAGTCCAATCATCATCATGTATGACAAGTTATGAAACACTATTATAGTTAGATTCCATATGTTACTTTGGAAAAAACGAGTGTGTAGCCATTGTAATTGGGCTACACATGTTTTGGATGCTTGGCAGCTTGCCCATAGTCAAGTGGAACTCAATGGGGAACACGTTCGCAAGCTCTATCAGACAAATCGGAACCCAGTTCTTAATCTCAGCTACACTTGTCCACCCCCAACCATATTCTATAACTCTGGCAAGGGGGAGATATATCTCTACAATTGACTCCTTGCAAGCGAAGTATTAATTCATCAAATAGAACCCAGGCTAGGGAAACATATTCCTCACCAGAACACACAGGGTTGGAGAGGCACAATGAGCAACAAATTCAGCGGTCACAAGGGAAAATATACTAGCATACACCTCTCTATCTGGGAATTAAAGCCATCCAGGAGCTTCCAGACAGGGTTTTCCTCAATTGGAGAGGCTTGAATATGTCGAATCGTGCAGCACTGACTTCACCAGGGCTATCGAGAGCAGCGGCGTGAGAACTTCCTGAAATGGCTTTCCTCGCTTCATTGATAGCCTTTGACCAGCGAATGAGCAAACGACATCCCGGATACACAATTAACTTTCGTTTCTTTACTGAATAGCATGGATTTGCATCAATCTGGCCTAGATTCGAAGAACCGCGACCTTGTGAATGTGTGGGGGATGATGCCTAGCGGGCACAAAGGGGATATATTGGGGCTCTCATGGATTTCGCTTCTCCATGGCCTGATTTCCCGTTTCACCACTAGACTGGGCTATATTTGACCAATAGAATTTTTTGAAAGCCGAGCACGAAATTCTAAGCTTTATCCAGCAGACATATGGTGATTTTTTTCTTCAATACATGCTTTACCTTGCCTGGGACCCACGCTTTCCTGCTGACCAAATTTTGTAGATAGATATAATGCAATGAGTAATTCTCTCCAGAGTATATATTCTGTATGTGAAAATTTGGGCATAAATTATAATAACGAAGCTGTCATGTAAATTGCCATTCCGAGAATCATGAACGCCACAAGAATGTTGGTATAAATCCAGATAGGATCAACAATAATTATTATCTATAAAGGATTAAATCGATGTTATATTTGTGGGTTGTTGCTTATTCAAGTTCAGCGTGTAAGCACTTGTTTACTTCCGGGTACTTTATAGTTACAAAACTTTTACTTCCATTGAATATGACATCTATTGACTTGATTTTACCCATAGAAACCTGCACCGACTTTGCCATTGTCAACACCATGTATCTCTAACTTGAATATAAGGTAAACACATTCAACATGCCATCGGCTGATGTCAGGAGTAGTATGTCTCACGGACGGAAACCATATTGCATTATATAGTGTTCTTTCGTCCTTAAGTATTCTCCGTACCTCGGTCAATTAGGAGGAGGAGGAGGAAATGCCGGCATGGGTCCCAATACGGAACACCGAGTGTGATGCGTACGTAAGCAGGGTTCATCACACGTCTACCTTGCCTACGCTCACAGCGCACCGCAGCCGCATGCTACCTAGACGGTCACATATCTCTGTATCATAGAGGCAGCCCTCGCGCCTACCATAGCATGCGGAATGTATAATCGGAGGTAGGCTCTGCAGAGTATCATCCGATTGGCCGCTCACAATCCGCGGATAGCTGTCTGATGTCATTCCGGCCCGCCAAGGGAATTAAACACACAGAAACAGGGGGGGCACGGCCGCCATCGGCGATCGCAGAACACGGTGAAGTTAAGACGACTATGCTAGCATATAAGATTGTTCATATCCAGAGTCATAGTGGATGGTAACACGCAGCAGCGCATTCAGCCATCGAGATAGGCAACACACAGCAGCGCATTCAACCTTTTGATTTGCAAACTGTAGGAGAGGATATGTGCCGCAAGACTTGAGTTGGGATGGGAGTAGTACGACAAGCACGGTCGGTATGGTGCGGATGAAGGCGGAGCTTGAAGCATCTGTAGGGGTTAGTGGGTTATTGTAGGCGCATCCCAGCGTGTCACTGCTTCACTACTCATCGCTTCCTCTGCCTGCTCTTCCGGGACTTCTCATGTATATTTGTTTACGGAGAAGAATGCAATGCTCTGTCAATCGTCGAATATTGAATAATATAGCGGTTTGATACCAAGGTTCGTCCACAGACAGACCATACGCACCACAAGTTCTTACGGATCCACGCCGTCTTACAGACTTATCTGACCATCCTACAGGTCTTGTTTACTACTTGGGAGCATCATAGGACCTATAAGATGCTTTGTTAAACGTATCTGATCGCCTTTGGCTGGTCAATCTTCGCATCTGGACTGTTCAGCGCAGACTGAGACTACTTGCATGTCAGAGGTATGTTTGTCGTCCATACTCTGCCATTGTCGCTAATTTTCCTATTCAGTTATCTTCTTTGATGATCTAGGCAATCGTGTATGTTTGACATAATAGCCATTTATCAAATCTTGAGCACTTGCATGCAAGCCCAACCTTGCGTTCCGTTGCGATTAGGGAATGTCTCGAGGGTTTGAGACGCGTTTCATGCTCATAAATGGTACGTGTAACATCCTTCAACATGATATAATATGATTGATCGTGTCATCACGATCCATAGTTGCTTGCCCACCGTGCTGGGAGCGTCTGAGCCGCATAGCCCGTGCTCCCGTCGTAACCACTCGAACCTTTGAAGTCGTATCCTCGCCGAGGCCTCGAAGTCACAATGTCGCAAACGGGAAGCCTAGAAGAGCAAGACACACTCTGAAGCAATAAGGCCAACGATGACGTCTGAGCATGGTGGAAGATGTATCAGGGTGGAGATCGCAGTTCAAGTGACCGTGCATATGGAACTCTCTTATCCAGTAAGCAGATCACTTCTGATGTCGTTAAACCGTCTTTAACGTTCTCATAAGCTCACGATGACCTTATATAGTGTGTTGATGAAGGTATCGCCCTTGGCGTCACCCGATTCCCCCTCAACGCACGGATGGGTGCACACCGCTCTCAGTCTTTGATGTTGCATACCACGCATCTTCCTCGTATTCATGCTCTATCAGAAGTCTCGGATGTGCCAATTGATAAACAGCGGATACGGATGCCTGTGCTTCAGATATGGCCCAGCCAATGACTGCGACCTTACTGATGCAAGTGTTGATGCACGTAGTCATACGCTAGGTATGTACATAGTTCTTTACACGATGTCTTGTCTGAAGCAGAACGTATAGGTATATCAGGCTATCATCCAGCGATGACCTGCGATAGTCAGAGGCCAATGACCTTCAGAGGGCGTCCTCTAGCTATGTGGAGAAATTCGATAAGGCGACAGAAATAGGGAAACGTCACAATAAAGGTACTGTTGCTCAAATCACTTTGGTGACATGGTTATTTCGCGAGGTGAGAACGTTACTTCCAAGACGCTGCATTTGACTCTTGAACCCGAACTGTATTTTAGTATTTCGAAGAGAGGACCGCGAAATTACTTTATCTTCAGATGAAGTTCTAGAGGTCCTCGGTGCCATCAATGCAGCTGCTGGTATCACCGATGTCGCTTTTTGAAAAGAACGATGGAATGTGTTCGCCGACATCGCTATTTTTATATCACACGTCTGGTGAAACAGCATCATGCTTGCGCTCCATTGAGTTGTTAGCAAGCGGTCGTGGTTCGACTCCACCACATGTATCTTTTGTAGCAGACTCGTTCACCACTTCGACATAAGCTTCGAGGACAGTTATGTGGCCTTTTGCTTTTGATATTATATTCTGGATTAACTATTGACTTGGGTAGTAATAAAATTTTGAAGCCTTCGTGGCATGTGCTCAACCCTGATGGTCCCCAACCGTCCCCATATAATGCCAGATGTGCCTTTGTCAAACATTAAAGTAAGAGCCCTTAAACTTTGTACTTGTATAACTTGTATAGCCCTAAACTGTAGATAAAGTTCATTTTTGAAGTCTAGAATTCCTCAGAAGCTCTTGGCAAAGCGCTATCATAAGTAGAGAATAACCATGCAAAAAGTGGGCCTAACTGGGAATTGAACCCAGGACCTCTTCCATGCAGATTTCGATAAATCTGGGTATCACCCGAAGGAAGAATCATACTTCTAGACCATTAGGCCGGTGCCGCATTGACCATTTGATACCATCACGTCGTGCTTGAAGCACTCGATATTCGAAACGGGAAATAGCTGAAAGCGCAAGAGCAACTTGAATATACTCTTCAAGCAAGTTCGAGCCTACGACAATGTATCATTCTAATACACGCTCGTTCCGTAGAAGACTGGCAGTGTCACCATTCAGATGTTATCAAGAATCAACTCAGACATCAATTCCGTAGGAGAATTTATAATACAGATATCGCGGAATGACGCACATGAGAAAATACACCGTACATATCGAGTAGGAAAAAAAAACTGGCACCTATTATAGACAGCACCAGCGAAATATATCACGTATAAAATTACTGAAAACCATTGATCAACGCCCGTGGGGTATTTTATCAGCTGCCGTGGGCGAAGGAACCGCCGTAACTGTAGACAAAAACCTATCCCATGCTGCAATAGTGGCACTAGGCCAAACGGTCGAACCCTGGGTCGTACCTGATCCAGTGAAAATTGGATTGTGTTCGGCAGGGAGAATGTGGTTCACCACAGGGCTGCCAGTGTCCCCTCCAACCACGCTACCATTGCTGAGAACAGTTCCGAGAGGATTATCACCCAGTATGAACTCGCGTACAAATTTGAGAGCCTATATTTGAAGTTATAAGAACTAAAGTAACAATTTGCTTGAAGAAATAGAACATACCCTAGAAGGTTGCCACTGAGGAATAAGGTGACCGGCTTTGTCAAACAGAACAAAGGTTATATTCCTTTCTTGATGGACAATGCCAGCAAAGCTGCCATCATCACCAAACCACGGGGTAGAAGGCTGCTTGGTGAATCCGATTGTACCTCCAAAAGACGTGTTTTGGATGGTCACTGGTAGCAATATATATCAGTGCAGAACGATAGAACTAAATTCCATTAATGAACTCACATTCACTGCCCCAGTGAGAAACTAGAAGATCGTCGTTACCGGAGTAGATAACCCAGTTAACCCCCTTCGCACTACTATTAGAGGCTAATTCGGATAGGAAAGCCATCGGTCTTCATGTATCACAATTAAATTTTTTACTCAGAGAGAGAGAGGGAGAATGAAGGCTCACTCAACGCCTAGAAAGAAGAATCATTAGATATTTTGACAGAGAGAGGTTAAGAGATTTATCTCACTTGGGTCGATACCCTCTGCATTCTCATCGCTTCCAAAGGGATAAAAGAATGACTGAGACCAGTTCCGACTGGTTGGGGCATGAAGGGCTGCCCTAGTTCTAGGATCTAACGAAAACAATTTAGAGGATAGAAACATCCCAAATTCCTAAAATTTGAATACCATTCATGAAAAAGTTCCCATCTTGAGGCGGTTCAGGATCCAATGCGTCAGGTGCGCTGTATACATCTAACCCTGGTTCCGCTGGGAAGGGGTCATCAATGGCTAAGCACAATTATTTTAATCAATAGACCGGATGATATGAACGAAGAAT